GCAAGTGCAGCAGCAGCAAGTGCAGCAGCAGCAAGTGCAGCAGCAGCAAGTGCAGCAGCAAAACCTAAGGTGAAAAAAAAAGAACAGGGGCTCTGCCTCTGAATGCAGAAGCAGCAGCTGCAGCAGCAGGAGCAAGAGGTGAAAGCAGCAACAAATGCAGCAGCAAGTGCAGCAACACGCACCCGCAGCAACCGCAGCAACCGCAGCAGCAGCAACAGCAGCAGTGTGTTGTTTCTTACTGAAATAGCGGCGAGACCTCGACTGGGAGTCTGTGCGGTAGTAGAGATCTAGGGGTTCCGCTTGCATCTGGCCAAGCTGTTGCTGCAGCATTTCTTTTAATTGCTTCTGCTGCTGCTGCTGCAGTTTCTGCTTGCTGCAGCAGCGCTGTTGCTGCTGCAGATGTATGAAAGGTATCGCTGACGCCAGCAGACCCACGCGGAGACAGCACTAAGTCCCCAATTAAGTTCGCAAAGACTGTTATACGGCCGAACGTCATAAGCAAGGAGCCTGTGCTGCTGCTGCTGCTGCTGCTGCTGCAGCTGCTGTTGCTGCTGCTGCTGTTGCTGCTGCAGCCGCTGCTGATGCCAGCGTGCTGCGCTTCTGCTGCAGCAAGAGAGCACATTAGCCGAGCACCATCAAGGTGTGCATACAGCGGGCTGCTGCCAGCACCCCAAGATCGCGCGAGAGGAGAGTGTAGCTTCAGAAGTTTTATTGTTGCTTCAGCAGCAGAAAGAAGAGCAACAACTGCTGCTGCTGCAGGACCTGCTGCTGCTGCTGCTTCCTTCACGCTAAAGCGAGGATGTAAACGAATGCCAGCTAAAGGTGGGGCTACCAAAGTAACAGAGTGCAGATCAAAAAGAGAAGCAGACAGATAACGCTGCAGCTCTGCTGCTGCAGCACCCGCTGCTTCTGCTGCGGGACCCTGCAGCAGCAGCAGCAACACCAGCAGCAGCAACAAACAAACGCATATGCATACCAACCCACTCAAAACTCACCCATCTAAAGCAGCTGCAGCAGTAGCAGCTGCAGCAGCAATAGCAGCAGCAACAGCAGCGGTAGCAGCAACAACCATAGCAGCACTAGGAGCAGAAGCAGCAGCAGCAGCAACCACAGCAGGAATAGCAGCAGCAACTGCGGCAGCAGCAGCAGCAGTAACCACAGCCACAGAAGCAACCGCAGCAGCAGCAGCAGCAGCAACCACAGCCGCAGCAGCAACAGCAGCAGCAGCAGACCTTTCCTTCCCAGATGCTGTTATCTCTAGCGAGCAATGCCCTGAGTACAATAGACCCGTGGCAAGCAGCGTGTAGATACACCCGAACCCTCTTGCAGCCTTCAAAGAAGTTGCTGCCTTCTAGCTTCGCTGGTGCTGCTGTTGTTGCTGCTGCTGCTTCCGCTGCTGCTGCTTCTGCCGCTGCTTCTGCTGCTGCTTCTGCTGCTGCTTCTTCTGTTGCTGGTCCTTCGGCTGACTCTGCTACTGCTGCTGCTGCTGCTGCTGCGGCTGCGGCTGCTGCTGCTGCTGCTGTTGCTTCTGCTGCTGCGTCTGCTGCTGGTCTTGTATTAGCAGACAGAGCTGCAGCAAGAAGCAGCGCAGTGTCTTCAATTTGTTTGTATATACACCCCGCCGGGTCCCTCGACTGAGGCGTCATCAGCAGCACGCGCCCCAACTGCAGCAGCAGCAACAACAACAACAAAATAATAATAATAAGCAGCAGCAACAGGAGCAGCAGCAGCAGCAGCAGAAGCAGCAACATAACAATACAGGGATACTCTATTATCAAGTCGTGGAGGAAGAACAAAATAATAGGCGAACCAGACATAAATAAATAAATAAATATATATATATATATGTAAATAAAACAAAGGGATATATACAGGAAACGAGCAGCAGCACCAGCAGCAGCAGCAGAAACGCCGGCGGTAGCAGCAGCACAAGAAAACAGCGGCAGCGGCAGCAGCAGAATAAACGCCAACAGCAGCAGCAGCCACAGAAACGACAGCACCAACTAGAGCAGCAGCAGCAGCAGCAGCAGCAGCAGCTTCAATACAGCAGCAACGTTAGCATCAGCAGCAGCAGCAGCAACGCCAACGTCAGAAGGAGCAACACGACCAGCAACAGCAGCAGCAGGATACACGCCATCAGCAGAAGCTGCAGCAGCAGCAGCATTAGCAGCGGCATGAGCAGCAGCATCGGCAGCAGCCGCCCAACATCATCAGCAGCATTTGCAGCAGCAGCAAAAAGAATCAGCAGCACCAGTGCCACTAGCAGCAGCCCCACCACCATCATCAGCAGCAGCAGCACCACTAGCAGCAGCGGCACTAGCTGCAGCACCATTAGCAGCAGCAGCAGCAGCATCACCACCACCATCAGCAGCAGCAGCACCACTAGCAGCAGCGGCATTAGCTGCAGCACCATTAGCAGCAGCAGCAGCAGCATCACCACCACCATCAGCAGCAGCACATTTAGTAGCAGCAGCAGCACCACTAGCAGCAGCACCATTAGCAGCGACACCCTTAGCAGCAGCAGCAGCACCATTAGCGGCAGCAGCAGCACCATTAGCAGCAGCACAACCACCGCCATTAGCAGCACAACCACCACCACCACCGCAACAACAACAACAGCAGCAGCACCACCACCAGCACCACCACCACCACTAGCAGCAGCAGCAGCAGCAGCAGCAGCTCACTGAAGCATGTGCTTCGAGCTGCTGCTTGAGGAACCTCCACTGCCAACTCCACGTCCACTTCCAGCCGCGCGCTGTCTGCACATCGCGGCCGTGAATTAAAGCAACGAAGCCGCAGTCTGCTTCTGCTGCTGCTGCTGCTGCTGCTGCTGCTGCTGCTGCTGCTGGGTCAGCTGCTGCTGCTGAAGAAGGCTGCAAGCGGTAGAAATATGGGTGGTAGCTGCTCCAGCTACGCACATAATCCACTGAGTTGCTGCTGCTCTTCTCCTGGTTGCAGCTGTTGCTGCTATTGCTGCTCTCTTTGTTGCTGTTGCTGTTGTCGTTGCTGCTGCTGCTGCTGCCTTTGTTGTTGTTGCTGCTAGTTTTGCTGCTGTCTGTCTCGGAGACGGGGGGAGGGCCCTGGCAGTCGAGAGTTAATTGCAGGAGAGGAGCCTGAAGATGATTATAAAATAAATAAATAAATAAAATAAATAAATAAAATAAATAAAATAAATAAAATAAATAAAACAAACCAAACAAACAAAACAAATAACACAAACAAAAAGAACTCAACTAGACACCGGATATGCTGCAGCAGCAGCAGCAGCAGAAGATGCTGCTGCTGCTGCTGTAAGACTTGCAGCTGTAACGCAGGAGCAGCAGCAGCAGGAGCAGCAGCAGCAGGAGCAGCAGCAGCAGGAGCAGCAGCAGC